TGCGTCTCCACTTTATTCAGATTGAAGTGAAGTCGATCTGATTTTTAGTGTAGTATGTCCTGGTGTCTGGTGAAATCAAATCCATGTTGCTTTGTGAATAACCTTGTGTTCATACACGCTGCCTCCAATCACCGAATTGTTGAATGCGCAGAATTCTGCAAACAGTTTTCCATTCTCATTCATCTCACTGAGCGCTTCTCGACTCATGATAAGTTCTCTTCCTGTGTTGTCCGTTCCCAGTTTGGCATTCATGTCGCCAACTGGAGTCTTGTCCAATACTGGTTGCAGTTGTCTGTAGAATTCCTCCTTCTTCTCTTGATCTGCATTATTTGTAGGTGCACAGCGTAGCGTTGTATGATTGTGACCTTCCTTCCTTTTGAGTTGAATCTTGCTGTCATGATCCTGATACTGGAGGAGGTTGGTTTTCACTGCATGAGAGCCTTCGATGGTGTTGGGGACATCATGATAGCCACTCCAAAACTCAGTGTGCTCGTGGTTGTCGTCTGGGTGACAATATTGGAGTAGATTATTGATTCTCCAGTTGACAGTTTGGAGAGTCCACTTCGATTCCATCTGCTTTCGCAGATTCCTAGCACTTCTATACCATACCTTCTCATTTCTCCGGCAATCTGGGCCGCCTCGCTAGGTTCATACATGGTGCGGACATTCCATGTCCCCATCCTTACTTTCACTTTCATCGAGAGAAGTGAAGACACATCGGCCAATTGGCTTCCCGAAGACTTCCACCAACCGGCGTCATTTCGTCTCTCCGATTCCAGCGAGGAATGAGTTTGTTTTCATTTTTTATATTTTGTTTGTGCTTTGGAGTTTCTTTAAAGATTGGATTGGTTTTACGGGGTAGGGTTGCTAGCCCTATGCCCAACCTTTTCTCTTTATCCGGGCTTATGACCGGCTGGTAGCTAGGTGATTAGCTGACCAGGCGAAGTTGTGTGCTACGATGAATTGCGGGAAGTCGAACTGACTTACGATTTTGGAAGGTTCTACGTTGCTTCTGACTGTCTGTCACATAGTAGGCTTATCCATAGGTCTGGTGTTGATTGTTCAAGACCATCTACGCATTTGCTGATTATAACTGCTATGCCAAAGTTCGATATTTTGCGTAGCCGATTTACACATCTATGAACTAAGAGTTAGGGTTCTCTGCAAGCGAGAGTGAATCACATTGTATATACCAAACTAGTTTACTTGATGCATTTGGTTTAAAGTTTGCGGATATATTCCACCTACTTTTAACCAACCTTTAATGATTAGAATCTACTATTCGTCACAAATTGACATCAGTTGGAGAACCAGTGAAAACTTAGGAGTAACGGAGAGTTGTTTCATCTTAGTATTGAACTTATCAGCAGTGCGTACCGATAACGCTACCGAGATCAAACTCAAAACGTTTAGGTGTGCACGTAACTGATGAGTTACACTATAACTAATTGTTCAATTGATTGTTATTATATTGTTTCGTTGTTTTTACATATGAACTGTATTTTTTTTATTATCATCTTCACTCAACCGCTCTCCACAGCCTAAACTTCTGGTCTGTCTGTGCCGTTTTGAGTTGCTTAACAGTTGTACTTATAGAGCTGTCCTTCAGTGCAAGATCTGATACAGCTATCCTGAAACCATGCATACCGTTTAAGCTCCCCAACATACATATCTTGACACAGATCGGACAACAGTCAGGTTTGGCTAAGATTCTAGATAGCCGCGCTATTGATCAACGCTGCAGCACGGAGATCTCCATGTAGGATCCCAGTGGATTGCTTCGAATAAGTTCCTCATCTGTCAGCTCGAAAAAAATGTTTCATAGGCGCTTATCCGGAGACTCTGTGACATCGGAAACCGGCCTCCCTGATGTCACTGTCGCACTAAGCGCTCGGGCCGAAGCTCATCTGGATCCCCATTAACAGCCATCTGTGTGCTGTTAAGCTAGAAGGTTTTCCCCTAGTACAAAGTAGCCGGCAAGAAAAACCATGCCTCTTTGTCATCTCTGCCTAAACTCCTGCAGATTACAGCCCGGATGCATTCTACCACCAACTGAGTAACCTCAACCAAGTGCGGTCGACAGATATCGCAGTGGTAGATGGGGACTTGAATGAGCAGGTATGGCGTCTGTGCTCAGGAGAGTCATTTAGATGTTTAGTGGGGACTGGTTGACAGGAAGTCGGATAATGGGGACCATCTTCTGCAGCTTTACTCAGATCATAACCTATTTCTAGCCAGTACCAACTTCCGGCACAACCATCATCGTTGTGCCATTTGGTATCCTTCCTCTGCCACTCAATCCTGGATTCAAACAGATCATATTGTAATCAGCTACCAATGAGGTGGTTGCACACAGGACTGCCGCTCCACGTGGAGTACTTGTCTGGGCTGTGATCATACTCGAGTGTGTGCTAAGTTCGTCTTGCGTTTTGGTGGTCATCAAAATCATCTACCTCAACAAGTCGATCTAAGCGAATTAGTTGCACTTACTATTGCAGCTGAATACCAATCCGGGCTAAATTCGAGGCTAGCTACTGACTCTCCAGAAAGTGTAGATGAGCATTGGCTGAACTTGCAAGACTCCGTGAAAATGGCAAGTGAAGCCACTCGCGGCTTGGAAGAACACCCTGCTAATAAACACTACGTCTCTGCAAGCTCCTTGCGATTTCTTGACGCACTTCAGACCATCCCAGCGGATAGTGAATACAATGGTCCAAAAACAATCCTCAAAGACTCCTGGAACGCCGGGCAAAGCACTTCGGAAGACAGTTTAGCTGATTCCCTGCTTCAGTATTTTCAGTTTCAAAGTATCGTGCTCCGTGGTCAGCTAACACTGACCCACCTAACGAAGCGGAGATCCATAAGGAACTCCAAGTTCTGAAACGCCACGAGGCATCAGGCCCAGACAACCAACCCATGACTCTTTTTAAGGATAAAAGAACGGCTCTAGTCAGGGAACTGGCTGGATTGTTTGAGAAGATAAGACAGAGTGAGTGTTTCATCATTCCGGAATAAGGTCATTTTGCAGATCTTCAAAAAGGGTCCGCGTAATGTATGTGACAATTATTGGGGTATTAGTCTGTTGCTAGTGGCATTGGAAATACTGGCTGCTATCGTGCTTGGCAGACTTTGCAAAAGACATGGGAAAATGATTCTCAAGGAGCAAGCCAGGTTTCGTTCAGGTCGTGGATGCATGCATCATGTATTTATTCTACGCCAGACGACTAAACATCGTCACACGTATTGCAGGCCGACAATCGTTGTGTTTCTTGACATTAGGGCTGCCTTCGATTCGTTGGACAGAGTTGTATTCTGAAATTGTCTGTTAGGGAGGGTCGTGCCTGAGAAACTTATTAACATCTTGAAAACTCTACATAATAACACCTGAGGTGAAGTGAGGGTATACAACCACCTGTCTGTATTGTTCCAAACCAGAAGTGGGGTTAGGTAGGGTCACTTGGTTTCTACATTCCCCTTTTGCTTTGCCATCGATGACATTCTTTGGATAGCTCTGAAGGAGGTGCATGATGGTGATGTAGCTGGAGAACGGCTATTCGACCTTGAATATGCGGATGATATCATCTTACTGTGAGATAACACACAGGTTACTCAAATGGCACTTAATAAGTTGGCGATTAGTGTCCGTAAGTATGGTATGTGGTTTGCACCATTAAAGTGCAAAGCACTTTTGTAAGGTTGACAGTAGCCTGTATCTGAGCTCGCACTCGGTTGTGAGCCGTTGGAAGTAGTCGAAAAGTTCATGTATCTGGGTAGTTGTGCGAGTGCTGTTGGAGGTATGAGTGATGACATTTGTAACCACATACTGAAAGCCGAAGTGGCATATGCTAATCTGAGCCACCTTTGGCGACGTTAGTCTGGCTGTAAAATGTCAGTCACTTCGGTGCGAGCAGTTCTGTTCCTCGACTGTGAAACCTAGCCCTCCGAGCTGAGGATGGGTGACAACTATGTGTTCGATCATGATTATTTCCACAAGATTGTTCATATCCGAGGTACGACAGCGTGTGTTTGGACATGATGGAGATCGTCATTCAATAAGTGAAGTCATCTAGAAACACCAGCCTCGATGGCTTGGAAATGTACTACGCATATCGTTCCTAACGGCTTCTATACCGTTCATTGTTTTCTAGCCATGGAACTAGATTGAAGAAGAGGAGGGGTGGTCAGTGTATGACGTGGAGCTATGGGATGAAGGATGGTTGCATCGGGTTGGCATCTGTTGGTGCACCTGGACGGTGTCCGAGAGACCATTCAACTCTGGCTTGAGACATTATCAGATATGGCTCATAATCGAAACCAGTGACTGCCATTCTGTAGCTCCTTTCTATCTTCTGCTACTGAAAATTAGTAAATGTTTTTTTTAAATGTATGTATCTTATTGGACTGCCTTTCTAGTTATTCTGTTTTCATTGTTTTTCTTTTTTACTTACTCACTTCACATCGCTGAATGTCTTCATACTGTTGCTACATTATTTTGTGAGGCACATTTCTTGGTACCATGTTTGTGTTCTAATAATAAGAACAGTAATGATAATGATAACTATGGGTGGGAATCGAATGGTGCATATTTTCCTACTCCTGTCAATTCACAATGCAGCACGACATTCATCCAATGGCATCGGTGAGTATTTGTTAACAATTCACGACCAACAAACTAACCCACAGCAAAGCTTCAATATCTTAAACTTTACGGGTGGGCAACGCACCATATGATAGCTTGTCGCAGAGTGGTCCATTCAACAAATATTTTTAGCTGGTACACCGTGTGATCAAGGTCACCAACTAGAAAAAACAGCAACCGATTATATGTAACTCGATGAGGTTGAAAATCAATACAATTGGCCGATCAGCAGTTAGTAGCAATAATAGGGAGTATATAGACAATTCTGATATAGTAAAACATCGTTTCGCGTTATGACAAATTTGTGGGTAATAATATATAAACTCGTAACACATAATAACGAAATAAACACAGAACTTACGACGAGGACATCCACTATCAGACATTGGAAATAAGTCGAATCGTCTGTGATATTCCACTGGCATTGATTTTCGTACACGATAGATTTTAGGAATGCTGGACTCTGTTGAATCCTCAATTTTAAAAGGGCCTATCTCACAGAGTAGTAAGCCAGGACCGGAATTAATCTGTTCAGCAATAATTTGACCCCATGGGTCTACAACTAAGCTATGACCATAAGAAGATCGCTTTTCGTTGTGTTTCCCCTCCTATGCACAGAAAACATTTACAGGAAAATGTAAAATAATAAACAGTTATCTTGGTACTGGGTGATGATTGAGGATGAATTGAAGATTTGGGTCGCGAGAGAACTCGAACTAGCGGCCTTCGGGTTACCGGTCAAGTGATCTACCGACTGAACTGTGAAATCCAGCTGTTGACTACTACTTAAATTTCACTTCATTCACCAAGAGTTACATAAATAGTTATATAGATAGTGTGAGTAACGTCATTTTAATCCCTGCCATCTACTAAATAGCTGACAGGATTCAAATAATGAAATAAGTAGAGCTAAGCATGGCTGATTAAATTAGTTTATGAGTCATATCTGCCAGTAGAAAGGGTAAATTACACACTTGTGATGAAAGCTGCCTCTAAGAATCCACATAAGTAGCATATATATGCAATGATGAAAGTGACGACGATCAATTGGTGAGAAATCTGACAAAAAGAATATACAATACTGAATGAAAATATAAAGCGCAAGAACCATACGGAGCAAAATGCAGAAGAGAAGAAGGGATAAATTATTCCTAGGTGTAGTACATTTACCATTATCAGTTGTATTTTCTTATGAAACAGTTACGGTCGCATCAGTGAACTCTGATCAATTACAGTTACGTAATAACTAAACACCTGGTTTAACAATGTATCTTCGATGGAAATTGTCACATTCCTTAATATAGTGCATACAGTTAAAATGGTAATTAAAAATGAAGGAAAATGTAAGACAATAGAACAGGAGGAATAAACTAGGTTAGAATAAAATGACATTGCATAACCTACAGTAGGATAACCAGTAGATATATCTGTATCATTGAGATCAATCTCCACTCTGATACTACAATGGCATTCTTACACTACAATAACCAATTTTCTATACAACTCGAATAAGTAGCCAATGCGTGGATAGATTAGTGCTATACTATGACTGTAACACAACTCAGTGTTTCACTGTACACCACCGAGTAAGCTTAGTATTTCAGTTCAGTTTTTCTATATTCACAACTTTTTTCAACTGATTTTCCCCCTTTAATTAGAATCATCAAATGCTTAAAAATGATAATATCCCTCTGAACAAATCGGTCACTGATGTATAGCTGTCAAACTATGATTGAATTCCACCCATCAACACTACTGAATACTTCAGATGGGATGGATAAAACGATCACTATTTCGTGGCCAACTGGTATGAATTATCCGGTTCTAATTCTAAATAGGGACTAGTCAATGTTTCGATAACTTACTGATAAAGCTTTTAAGTTGGACATTGGATGATGAAGGTTTGAATCACCAAGGGGATACCAATTTGTTGACATTTACAGACACATCTTACTGTGATAACTACCGATAGGTATGAATTTTAGTTTTTAAGTGTCCTGACGATTACATCTAAACATCTGACACATGAATCATTTGCTTGATAGTGTCAACAATAGATGCAGTCAGCAACTTTGTGCACATTCATGCAGTAGGTAATCGACCACACTAATTGTGAGGATTAGTGATCCTACCAGGTTTCCAAAACCTCGGAGGTGGGGTGGGATTCGAATCCCTAACCCATAACTCTGACGATAAACTGCTCACAGCTTTTTACACATCGATTCATTTTTAACGATTATTTTCGACAGTTATATAGCACGGACCTAATGAATGAGCACATATACGTAGAACACCATTGGTGAAATGCCCGAGGTGTAAGTATATTTGTTGAAATTAAGAATACGATCATCTTATTGCAATCAGGCGAAGTAGTCAGAAAGTTAAAATAGAACAAGGGTGTAGAAGAAGTAATTTGTCAAAATTCATTGACCAATAAGTTAGGTTTCGTGACTGAATTCCCTTCAGATGTTAGGAATCAGTCAGACAGACAGATAAACATGGATAATTAACGATATGCTCTAAGTTGCCACATCACTAATCAATACATTGAAGAGAAGACCAATGAACAAAGAGGGATAACATGAGAATAAAAATGACAGTAAAAAGTTATAAGATAAACACGTTAAAAGATTAGATAAGGAATAAATGAATGAGTTTAAACCATTCTAATTGATTTTGAACCATGCAAGTAGTGGTTAGAAACCGTGAATGATATGAGGCGAAATAGAATCATTTATGCTTTATCCTTCTGACAACTTTAAGAACCTTTCTTTTTGAGGGAGTTGTGGAGATTTGGAGATATTTCAAGTTGTTATTCATCGTAGACTGACATCAGTTGGAGGAACAAAGGAAACCTGGGAGTACTGGATAGTCCTAGTATGGGACTCCTCAGCAGTGCGCACCCACGACCTCGCCAGGGATCGAACCCACGACCTTCAGGTTTTGCGGCCAGCTCATTGGTGACTAGCTTCGAGAAGTATTCCCGAAGTCCCAATGAGAAGTCGTGACCGGTGGAGTCAAAGCCTGATGGCCGCGAGGACAGATACTCAACGATGACATTGGGTGGCAGTTGCACTATATCGTGAGCTGACAGAAGTTGGAAATATGAACCAATGGATCCCGACCCAGCTGCCCAGTGGTAACGCGCTGGCCGCGGAACCTGAAGGTCTCGGGGTTCGATCCCTGGCGGGGTCGTGGGTGCGCACTGCTGAGGAGTCCCATACTAGGACTGTCCAGTGCTCCCAGGATTCCTTTGTTCCTGCAACTGATGTCAGTCTACGATGAATAACAACTTTAAGAACCTTATTATTCTTTATTTATTCGTTCTCTCACCTCTTATATTCTACTTGCTTGTTATAACAACATCTTTCCGTTTCTCTACTGTAGAGCAGCATGATAGTTTGAACAGATACACCATAGTCAACATCCTGCTAAGATCTCTTCTTATCCAGCTGACAATAACATGGACTCTAAAGTTTATAGATTTTAGAACAATTAGTCTGTATGACAATGACAGGATGAAGATTATCTGAAACATGTGTAATGTACTAGCGCCTTACATTTCGATCAAGTTGACCGATCACACATAAACTTGTCGAACTATTTATACCAAAATTTATGAAAAAGGTCGATTCATTCAATAGGAGACCTAAGAATAAGAGGGGCAGAATAAAAATGAAACTTAAATCATGTCTTTCTTGGTATCAAAATCAAAATTACCAAGGCAGATTGAACGTGAGTACAAACTATCTTTGTATACATAAAGCGGGTTTGAATTTAAGCATTGTTAAAGAGGTTCAATATATGTAAGTAGTCGGCCCTGACTACTTTTATGTAACTTTAGAAGCTGTTCTCATGTCTACCCTATTATATACATTCTAGAATGTATTTTGCAATCGATGAAGATGGGTGTTTCTCACTATGATAACAAGAAAGATGTGATTCAGGTTTTGTTTTTGTTCTCCCCTTCCTATCCTAGTGTTTCCAATTGACTTAGTCGACCTTTTACGAAAATTCTTACATAAATAATTCGACAAGTCCATGTGTGATCGACCACATTATTGGAAATGTATAGGAGATAATACATCACATTACTTTCTGTTGGTATACTTGTAATTCTTCGTTCTTATACTGGACCGAATTGTTCGACCTCTGTTGGCATATGGATCACCGAAGTCCAACCTAGTGGTTGGACGGTCGATAATGCACTTATCGCAAAACTTAAGGGTCCTAGGTCCCACTTTCTGTATATATGCTTCCTGATAAAGAGTTCAGTGCTAGGGTAAAACAGCTATCTAGAGCTCTAATTCTATTTACTGACTGTTATCCAGTTTGTGAAGAGAAAAAAATCATCTTCAAATAACATATACTTAAAAATGAAAAATGTCAAACACATTCTGATTAGCGATAAAGATATTTCACCTTGGATAAGACAAGCTAATTTATCGCGTCCATTTATTAAAACACGGACCGGCTTTTCAGATCAATAATTAGGATAGCATATGTACAACCTCTCAAAAAGTGTCTTAGAATTCAATTAGGAATGAAATTTATTAAATGAAATGAAAAAGAGGTTATCTGTGTATTTATCCTAGCTATAAGAAAAAGAAAAAGGTCAATAAACATGGAGACACTCAGTATACACATTTGTATATGTGTATACGAAACTGCCTCCACACAAAGATTAAATTTACGGTCATTCAGTAGATAAGGAAATATGAGATAAAAGAAACACGATTCATAGGAGTTAACAACTGAGATTTTCTTTTTCAATCTCATTCGGAGAAGTCGAAGAAAATTAGTTAATCAAATTTAACACAATAAAAGAACTAAGAGGGAGGAATAGGCTGTATAATCTAGTAAAACAAAGCAAGAAAAATACGTTTTTTGGTTGATCAATTATGACAATATATCTGTGTGATTAATTGGCTGTCCAACTAAAGTTCTTCTGCTACAGAATTCATGGGTTATGGTGTCCTGAGTAATATTTAACACGCATAGACAACTGCCGGAGTAAAATCACTTTCTCAGCTTCATTTTGATGAAGTACAAACGTAAAATAATCAGATGTCTAGCATTTAGAGTAAGACAGATTTGTTCTAAGGAGTGTGTGAAGAAAACTACTGTGTATCTGCGATATTCTAAGTAAAAACGCACATCCTGATTAGTTCATCACAGCAAACATCACTTACAGTAATTCCAGAGGAGAAATGATGCCATTACAATTCAAATGAGACGCTCCAAGTAACATCCTACCACAACGCCTGACTAGAGCAGTAAATAGAACGTCTTAATCAGGTCATCCTTCACTGAGAAGACCCTTTGGAGACATGATGCGCCAGGCCAGGTCGTCGAGTTGGACCCAAATGGGAAACGACGAGTTGGGTGTCTGAGGCGATGGTGAGATGAAGGAGATCATGTGAGGAAGAAATGAAAGCTTGTGGGCAGCGGTGGAGTCAGGTTAAAAGAGAAGACTGCAGAGAAGAGAGTGAAATGGCTATATGCTACTGAAGCCCTATGTCCCACTAGGAAGCGAAGGGACAAATAATGATAATAATAATAATAATAATAATAATAATAATAATAATAATAATAATAATAATGTGATGATGATGAATATCAAAATTTCATGCAACCACTTGTTGTTGTTTTTTGTAGAGGGGTGGGGTGATGAAACTTTAAGGACAGCCACTTATTCACTCAAACTCTTGGCGAATACACTACGAAGTTCCATACTATTGATGTCATTGACTCACCTTTTGGAGATAATAAGTAAATAAATCAGGTCATCTTTACATTTCATTTAGTAGTCCGCCCACACTTAATCCGAGACTAAAGGATAGCTTACTTAATCTTAGCTCCCCCATCCTGTATACTTCAGCTTAATCAAACCCGTGGAACAAGATATATGGTGCGTACAATTAGGTAGATGTGTCTCCGGGTACGAGATTATTTGCTGGCTTCGTTTGACAAAGGTGAAGTGAAGGTGGTGAAAAGTTCTATCTTAGCGCACCTAGTAAACACAGAGCATCACACAGTTGCTAACAGAGCTTTTAAGATCATATATATTTTGAGCTTAAAACAATACCACATGTAGCTCACCAAAGCCTCCCCAACATAACTGACGTTGCCGCAATAAAATTCATCAAGCCTCGACTATGCATTCATAAAGAACATTTTCAAAACGTCATTCCTATTTTGGTTTTCAGTAAACTAAAGGCTACTCATTTTCCACTTTGAAAATAAATTCACCTCAAACTTGGCTTGTTTTACACTGTAAAATTACATTTTACAATCGTAGAACCTGATGAGAACTTATTGAAACAAATACTCGTTCAGATTGTTTTCGAATTGCATAAAGTTGTTTCGAGTCTAAAAATCGTAAATAAGCTTAAAAAACACAACACTTTAGAACTAAATAACACAAAATGCACCACTTTAAGTCTCTGAAAATCAAAATATCAAATAAAACAACAAGATGACGATTACTATACTAGGCGAATTATTATCATTATTATTCGTCCCTTCAAGTCCTAGTGGAACAGAGAGCTTCAGTAGCATATAGCCATTTCACTCTCTTCTCTGCAGTCTTCTCTTTTAACCTGACTCCACCGCTGCCCACAACCTTTCATTTCTTCCTCACATGATCTCCTTCATCTCACCATCGCCTCAGACACCCAACTCGTCGTTTCCCATTTGGGTCCAACTCGACGACCTGGCCTGGCGCATGATGACCCTAAACCGCCTTCTCAGTGTATGCCCAATCCATCTCCACTTTCTTCCAGTGCATATTTGTTGGGCGATAGGTTCTTGGTCGGTTCGTTCCCAGGGTTCCTTGTTGCTTATTCTTTCCAGCCATCTAATCTTCAGTATCGAGCGTAGGTAGTTGTTGGTGAATGTCTGTAGTTTGTTGGAAATGTTTTTCGTGACGCGCCAGGTCTCTGAACCATGTAGAAGCACTGACTTGACGTTGGTGTTGAAAATCTGGATCTTGTTCACGCTTTATGCTGAGTGCAGAAGATCTCCACACTGGTTTCAGATTAATGAAGGAAGGCCTGTTTTGCTGTCTTTCCGACCCTGGCTTTGACGTCCTCATCTGTGCCGCCGCTTGTAGTTTAAACGATGCTGCTTAGGTAGGTGAAAGAGACTACTTCCTTTAGGTTTCTCTTGTTGATGGTGACTGGTGCTTGTTGTTGATGCAGTTGCTTGGGTATCTTCATCACCTCCATCTTCTCTACGTTCACCTGAAGGAAGTCCCGTCTTCACTGCCCTGCCCTGCCTCTTCTGCCAACTTGTTAGTTTTTGCCTGTAGATCTTCAAGTTTGTGTGACATTAGACACAAGTCATCAGCGAAATCCAAATCTTCTTCTGGGGTCTTTTTATCGGTCAAACAGCGTATGCTCCTCTTCTCGCTCCCCACTGTTTGTTGCATGATCCAGTCCACTACAATCAAGAATATCATGGGTGATAGTAGACAGTCTTGTCTTACTCCTGTATTCACTTCAAAGGCATCACTGAGCTGTTTACCACTGTGAATTACTTGGCATGTGGGGTCTTCATATAGTTGTTGAATGAGGTTGATAAAGGTTCGTAGTACTCCGCAGTGTTGAAGCAGTTGCCAAATCACTTGTCGGTTGACGCTGTCGAAGGCCTTTTCAAAATCGATGAAGTTGAGATAAAGGTCCAGTCGACTGTGATTCTGTACGCTGTTCTATGATGATGCGTAGCGTAGCGTTGTAATTTGATCCGCCCTAGGCAAAAGGTCACATTTATTTTTTAAGGACTAGTAATATCAATGGGCTATCTAAATTTCGGTATGAAGAGCAATATCTGAATCTGCAACCAAGTAGACGAAAACCGAGTGCTTAGAACAATGAGGCAAACGTATTAGGAAATAGTAAAGATGGTAAAAATGAACATATCGTTACAGTGAACAAGAAATGCATAAGTCGATAGGAAAAGATTGAAAGAAATGAATACACCTGAACCACTGTGATCGGTTATGCAACATATTATGTAGGCTGGGTGAATCGTTTATGCACTGGCTTATGTAGCTCGAAACAAAAGTCATAAGTTCGACAATGGTGGAACTGTGGTTCATTGGTTCAAGAAGTTGACTTTCCACCAATGGGCTATTGGTTGGAATCCCGTTCTATCTATTGAGGGTCTAAGCTATTCGCCTGCTTACAATTCGGTGGGTGAAGAAGAGTTCGAACCCGTAACCTACTGCTTGAAATTCCAGTGCCCAGATCAATGGGTCACAGATCCATCCACTCTTTGATGTCTTCTGAAGATTGGATATTTTCACAATCCTTTATCTTTAAATTCTTTCTCTTACCAAACACCTTTGTCTACCTTGATATAGGTCCTTTTCTGTTCACTTATTCTTTGAATGCTTCTGTGAAGTGTAGCAACTTGAACCAAAGCACCTGTGTTTAAGGTTCTACGTTGATCTTGTCAGTGTATCAGTCAGGATCACAGTTCCACTTCAGATAGGCATACATGTCCTCAATGTCATAACTTTTATTGATCCAATTCATATGCATCGAAAAAGGCTAAACGCATCCAGCATGAAAAACAACATGCAAGATTATACACTAGACGATGAGTCACATCTGTTATATGGTGGCTAATGATACTACCACCATACTGCTTAAAAATCAATAGATATGACTGAATTTCAGTCTGTAATCAACTGGCAAAAGGTTAAGTCAGTCACAGTTTTACAATGCTGTTTCACTCGAAATAAAATAATATCTCTGAAAAAAGGTATATGTTGGTCAAAGCAAACTGAATAAACAACGAGATACAAACCTGAGCTGCAGCAACTACATAACACTGATTTTCAATAGCTCTGGCTCGAATCAATGTATGCCAATGACCTGCTTCACCTGTATACGTCATGTAAGCAGATGGATAAGTTAAAACTTGAGCGTTTTTAGCATAACGCAGATGAGCTGCCAGTTCGGGGAAACGCATATCATAACACTGAATAAACAGAGGAGAAAGAGAAAACTTCAAGAAAAATAGTCAGCTAACCAATTAAAGTATACAAAAACAAAAACCAATAAAAAGAGAAACAAAATTACAACCATCAATACATAGCTGATACTCGTTGTACAATAAACCGTCGACTTCCGTGACCCAGTAGTTCAGTGAACAATGCTCAAATGTTTGAAGTGATAGATGCTAGGGTTCCAGCCCCAGATTCCACTGATAGCTACCACGAATCAAAGCTAAACGCACTCAGCTACTTTTGCTGCATCCATGCCGCAGGCAGTGAGCCGTATCTTATATATATATATATATATATATATATATATATATATATATATATATATATATATATATATATATATATATATATACGACATGTGCAGAATCATTACTATTGCATGTATTTAGTATTGATTCGATAAGCAAAAGATTCGGTATCTTATTAACTTCATTCCATGCTGCTTATGAAACTAGAAAGTTTTGAAATCACTAATAATCTTCTTCCATAGATCACAGAGTTTCCTGTCAGTAATTTAATTTTGACAACAGGAAAAATAAAAAGCAGCCTAATGGGAATGATTTTGCACCTGTCTGAGATATGTGGAAAATTATACTACCCTTATTATAAAGAAGAAGAGAGGATTAAAACTACATAAATCATTTCTAAGAGTTACAGAGTTATGACTATGAACAATAAATTGTGTCTGAAAAGCAAATAATACTATTCCACTGTGACAAATAATAAATAAACTAAAATGGAATAGAAACCCATACACATGCAATGTGATGACACTTTACTTCCTGCCGCGATCTTTAACAGTTTGACTACACTAGTGAATATGAAGTACAAGAATCTTCGTCATCTTGTCTAATTATACTGCATCTTTAATTTCTCTAAGATGTCTTTTACTATTGATATTTGATCAAAAATTGACAATTGAATATCGAAAAGCTGTTACTATCATCTTTATGGTATGTACACGATAAAAAGGTTGACTGTTACACGTTGATAGAACTGCGTATATATCTTATTTTGGAAGAAAATCAAAATTGATGGAACTGATGGAACTCAGGTGTTCAGTGCAGAATTACATTTACCAACGGAAGGTACAAAAATATAGTACTAAACAAATAAAATGCTGTCAAAGCCACTGTAATAAAGAACCAGTAAAAAGTTATTTGTATTGATGTTAAAAATTAGGGGGGTATGCTTAAGTACAACAGCTTACACAGCATACTAGAGCATATTCGGACAGCACTAAAGACATATGAACGCTGCAGGAGACACATAATACAGAACCGGAACATGGTTTTCTTACACATAATGCAATTTTTATTAGTATATTTCAATGAGTTACACAATGAGTGTTTTTTCAACTGATGTTTACTTGAATTCCTATAGATCAGAAAGTTATGAACTACGATCTGACCCAAATTAAACAAAATATTGTGGAGTATGTATAAAAAAAGCAGTAACTCAAATCTTACTTGACTGATTTACTCCCTTGAAAGCATCTAGATGAATATGGATTTGAAACTAATCACCAACAACAAATGTCAGTGGAGAAATTCTCTTCATTGGTCGCAAGTAATTTAAACCCGTTAGACCTTAAACAACCCGGTCACAGAAATATACTACTGAACAATATATAAGTGATAGTTGGAAACTACTCACTCTCATGTATAAATTTCAAACGAAACCAGTTCATAGAATTAATATGTTCCCACTAAATGGCTCTGGCTAATTGGACATAAATCATTATCATCATCGTCAATATCAACATAGGACCAGGCATTACTGCGTAACCCTCCAAGTTGCCACAGCTCATATCACTACATCAAGTAAAAAGGTAATGAGGTGCAAGATGAAGATAAGAAAATCCAGTGAAAAGAAATATAAAGTACGAAAAGAGAGAAAGGAAGAATGAGAAAATGATGAGATTAGGTAAAGCGTCGTTAAGACGAGGATAATGTATGTGTATACATCTCTGCCACTGATATCGGTTTTCAGCCATATCATCAAATAGTCTCCAAACACTGGTTTCTCTTGTCCCACGGACCCCAACCACCTGGTCTGCATCGCCCCACATGGCTCAAACTAACAGTCAAACACTTCATACATTGATGCCATGTTTTGGTCTAGCCGCCTCGAGCCTTTTTCCAGCCCCAGCCTATTTCGGTCAACAATTTGTGGTGAGGCAAATGGCGACTAGGCATGCGTAACACATATCCCAACTATCCCAGTCGATGAAGTTTCACAACCTCGTCAACCGACTAACCTCTTCTCCCCAAAACTCTACACCTGACTTCCACGTTACTCACTCACGTGGTGACACCACGGAATACGGCCTATACTTCCAAGGCAACGATGGTTAAACACCTGAAGCCTTCTCATGTCTTCCACCTTCAATGGCCATGTTTCACAGCCATACAGTAGAACAGACCGGACTGCTGTGCAAGTGCAGTACACACCATCCCTAGTAGACAAGCGGATATCACGGCGGCGTAAATGGTGAAAGTCAGCCAAGTCTTTCGTATCCGTGCAGAGATTGCATCACCCACTGACCCACCAGGGCTGATCCCACTTCCCAGATAAGTAAAGTGGTCGACGCACTCAATCATTACACTTTCTATTGTTGGCTGTGGCACCGCTGAAGACCAATCCTAGAGCCATAATTTGAATTTGAATGTCATCTGCATATTCTAGGTCTAACAAAAATTCTCCTGCGATTAAGTCAACCTCTGTGTAATCAGGTGATGAGAATGAGACCTCCATAAGGATATCTATGATAAAATTGAAAAAGAATGGAGACAGTGGGCAACCTTGACGGACACCATTCGATCAGGATAGCTCTCTGGACATCTCACCATAGGCTCCAACACGCCCACAAGTGTTCGAGTAGAGAGCCTTCAATAAGATGATGTACTTACGCGGCACGCCTTTCAGTGAGGGGCTGTCTTAAAACTTCTTGATCAACGGAATCGAATGCCGCCTTCAGGTCGAGAAATACAGCCAGTATCGGGCGTCGGTAAGCGTGTCTATGTTCCAGGACGTGGCGCAGTGTGAATATTTGGTCGATACACCCGCGGCCAGGTCTAAAGCCTTCCTGGTTATCTCGGGCTAGCTGTTTCCGAGCTCCAGTTAAGAGTCGAAAAACTATAGAAACTAGGATCTTGGACACTATGGTCGTCAGGGTGGTTCCTCTGTGGTTATCACAAGAAGACTTCTCGCCTTTCTTGTAGACTGGGATAACCAGTGATTTAGACCAGTCAGAGGGGATCGTATTTGATTCGCATATACTGGCTAACACTTCCGTTAACCCAACTAAGAGCACCTTCCCACCATCCTTGAATACCTCTGGAATTAGTCCATCTGGTCCTGCCGCCGTCCCTCGTTTCAGGTTACCCACTGACTTCTCGATTTCTCCTAGTGTTGGGGGCCTATCTCAATGTTCCATTCAGGATCCGACTGGATAGCAGGCAATGCAGTGGTGGCTGGAGGCCAGTTAAACTGTTCCTCAAAGTGTTCTGCCCATCGTCCCAGTCGCCTTCCCTGCGAGTGAATCGCCGATCCGTCCTTCTCCGCTATAACCTCACTAACTGTTGTTGACCATTTCCCCCCAGTCTCCTTAATAAGTCTAAATAACTGTCTACTGTTACCGATCGCCGCTGCCTTTTCCATCTCTTTAGCCTTTGCTGCCCACCACTGTTCACGATCGTTGCGCAGACTTTTCGTCAGTTTATTTTTAAGTTGCGCTCGCTCTTCATTGTACTCAGAGCCTGCAGGGATGCATTCACGTGCATCCATTAGTTTGGAAGAAGCTGCTGATATCCACTGGCTCTTTTTAGCCATTATCTTGGAGTCGGCTACAGTCTCCAGTGCTGCTTTTACAGTAGACTGAAGATGGCACCAAGCTTCTTCTGGATGAGTGACAGTCTTTTGTTCCGATAACTGCCTAGCCAACTTCTCACTGAACACGGCTTTGGTGTTTTCGTTGTCCAGCAGAACTCGTAGTGGTTTTGTTGCCAAATTTTTTCTACGTCCATTGAGACGCAGGCATATACGTGCTCGGACCAACGCATGATCGCTGTCCAAACACGTACTCCAGAAGGAGCGGCAGTCTTCCACCGATCCTCTCCAGCGATGACTAATAGCAATGTGGTCTATCTGTGTCCATCGCTGAGTCGAGCTCGGTGGACGCCAGGTCAGACAGTGCCTTTCTTTATGTCTGAAATTTGTGCTGGCTAAAAATAGGCGGTTATCTGAGCATAGTTGTAATAGGCGATCACCGTTATCTGTACGTTCAGCTGGGATTCCGAAAGTGCCACCTAAGTGCCTTTCTGCCTCACTCAGTCTACCCACCTGTGCGTTGAGGTCACCTGCAACAACCACTACGTCCGAACGTTTGGCTTTCGAGAGGAGGTTAGACAGTTTATGGTAGAACTCGTCCTTCACTTCATCCGAACTACAGTCAGTGGGTGCGTAAGCAGAGATTACAAAGAGACAACGGCGAGTCTCACTATTCCTTTTAGTTCTCACTGTGCCGTTCAGCCTCATAGCGCAGAGGCGACTATCAACTGGGATCCAGTCTAGTAGTGAGTTTTCTGCCCTGGTGCTTAGCTATACCTACACCTGCAAGACCACGAGAGCTAGCTATCGAATCTCCAGAAACTCGAAGGGTGAATTTTGCAGATTCACCAGATTGGTCAGGTGAATAACCACACTTGGGTCCTGTATGCGTGTCTCACAAACACAGCACACATCCATGCCCGAGTTGCTAGAGTCTTTGCCAACGAAGCCTGTTGGCCAATTTGACGGAGGGTGCGGACATTGAAGGCTCCAATATGTAATTTGGAGCGTGGTTTAAGGAGACCAGGGATGCTGTTCTGTGGACTCAGATCGTTGTCGAAGGCTGCAGAGGTAGGAGAAATTGAAGATGATGCAGCATCATTAATTAAGAGACGTGAAGGAAGATTAGAAGGTAATGATGGAGGAGGAGGATAGCAGTCAGAAGAAACTTGGGTGCTGACAGAGTTGTGAGGGCGGTTGACACTTCCCGGCTGCCCACACCGTGGAAGGCTATTTCTTCTTAAGGTACCTGAAAGAGATTTGTGTGACCGCAGAGCCCATCGGACATCTGCTTGAGGCCTGTCACACCCAGCCTTTTGAGTATGATTATTTTGAACTTTTGTATTTTTGGGGCCGGATGGTCGAAAGGAAACGACAAGTGAACCAACACCGCCGGCCCGGCAGACCGTGGGGCGTGGTGGAGTGTGTTTTTCGGGAGGCCGACCTTTTCTAACCCCCCCTTCCACTGAGAAGGCAGCATCAGCTTACATGCACTGCTGGTCATCCAAGGGAAACACCTTACTGCTGTCACACCCCATCCAGCTAGCAGCAGTACGACTTCGCCCTAACACCCCCATCATCCTGCATTAAACTACACGACAACGGTAACTGCTTTTCCTCCAACCACTATCCAACAGACCTTTCTGGTATGGTAGGACCTCCAAGGAACAAAGGTTTCACCAACATAGCTCGTTGGGTCATTGTGATAAGCAAGCATGACTACCACGTCAAGGTAGCAGCTGTTGATCGGGATTGGACTTAAATAAACCAGTGTCACACAAAACAGATGGTTGATTTTGGTTGAACACACTACAACCAAGACCATCCACCCGAGCTATAAACATTCTCCACTATTTCAAAATCATATGAGCGCAACACGCTTCACGTCGTTCGAAGATGGGAGAACTTTTGTAAGAGGCAAGCTTCCACAAAAGGACAAATATTCTTTCTCCGTGAGAGTGCCTACATCAGTATGTTCTGCCAAAGAGTGTCAGATATAGACTGCTGATTGGCTGTCCAATGGAATGAGAAATAACTGAACAAAGTGGAAAACAAATGGTAAAACTGATGATCACAGATGCATATCATCGGATGCGGAAATACCAATTCGTGACTAACAACCAAAAGAGAAAACTAGAAAGCATACCCATGACACAACATACGACAACGTTAACAACAGCAATTGAAAAATCAAGTAGACAATAAAAAGAACAACAAAGAAAAGCCCTCAGGAACACCTACAATCGAGGAAACAAACGACTGTGTTGCCAACTTACGAAAACAACCACTAACAAAAATGTAACTTCTTTAGAAAGGATTGAATTGCAACACAAGACATGCCTCCAAACCAGAATGTTTTGCTGCATTATAATCGTCACTTAAAACACCAGGATTAAATGAGACCACTCAACAAGAAATACGGCAAACTGACTGGGCAGAAGAGACATTACGCTCAAATGAACACTCAAGAATGGAAAACATTAAAAAGACTTAAAAATAGAAAAGATATTGTTATACTTCTAGCAGACAAAGGAAGCACTATGGTAGTCATGGACAAAGAAGACCACATCATGAAGGCAGAGGATTTACTCAAAGACAAGAATGTATATCAACCACTTGAAACCAACCCTATCCAAAAGTTCGACAACCAGATCAGTAAAACCTTGAACAAACTCTTCAAACCAGATGGTTGATTTCCACACTGTTTACACATCTTACAGGTTGTATCGACATTTCTCTCAGTTGATTGGTTTTTCAACTGTTTAACCGTGGTGTCAACAGGGTTTCTGTAGAAAGCTATTGAAGTAAGATGTCAGTGTATGTTTTCCATCCTATTACATGTTAATAGTTGATTCTCTCAGCTCTGCAGTGAGTTTAACTCTCTGTCAACTACTGCTGCAATTTAACTGCATTTGAGTCTATGAGAGAACTAGTCACAAACTGTAAACTAGATAGTACTGGACAGCTAAACGTTTTCTTTGTTTTTTGTGCTCTCCAGTATTAGTTAAGGTATGACCACCTCACTCCCATTCAGTGGAATTCAAAATGGCTCGTACACACTGACTGCAGAGGAATTCATCAGCGAAAAAGGCTAACGCATTCCTGTTTGACCAAGCTTCAGGGGTAATTTAAATAGTTTTATAAAACAGTCAATACTTTACTGTCTTGTTAAGGGTAATACAAATTTCACATGAAGTTCTCCTATTTAAAAAAACATTGATAATACACGGGAAATAATAATAGTAATGATCGAATAGAAATAAACATACAATAGCTAGACCCAATCTTCCAACAGGTGTATGTTCAACAACTACTGGACCATTTTTACCAGCACGTATAACTTTCGACTCAGAGAAAAATGACTGTGTAGATTCTGACTAAAAGGAGAAAGGTATGAGAAAAATATTACACAAACAATTCACACAAGTTCGTCGGACTTCAGTTTATTTGTAATCAAAAAAAAGCAAAAAAAATAATGAAAAATATATGAAGATGAAATCATCATATTGCTGAAAACTTATAACAGAAATAGATTATATATAAAGAGACATAAGAGGCGAGACAGAATAAATTCTTACTAAAGATTAATTTGTAGCAAGTTTATCACTAAATATATACATAACTAAGCTACTAAATAAGGTTCTCAGTTATTTGGTCTACTATGTAACAAAGATTTCATTCAGATAGCCTACAAACTCTTCTTTTTATTAGGTTGGAACACTACAGAGGATATAACTAGAGAGTACAAGAGTTGAGGAAATACATAACAACACTGGTTTCCACATCAATTAATCAATTCTTTCAACCAACTTCAGAAGAATTTAATGTTTGAATCATCCACTGATACATTCAAGAGGAGTTCAGAAAAGCACAATGATCTGTTAGCAAAGGATTAACACAGAGGCACAACAAGTTATCTTCAAATCGAAACTTTGAATTTGAAATGTATGCACTAACCAAACTGATTAGATAGTTAAATGATATTATTGTGAATGCTCTAAATTGATTCCTAGTCATTTTCCAATTTAAGTATGATTGGTGGTTGGATCAGAGAGCTGGCGATTATGAGTAAAGAATAAATTGACCATCTGAGATACTCAAGGTTGTCTGTTTTATCCAATCTACACAATGTATATGGAGACTGCATAACATTGTGTATAAACCACTTCAACTAAAAGCAATATTTCCTTTTCATCATTTTTTTTTACACATTCTGTACATTCTTCCTAATACTTGTAAAAACGAATGTTGTTTATATACACAACGTTTTTGGTTGTGGCGGTAATTACAGCTTTTGCTGCTGCTAATTGTGGAAATATAAAGTGCTTCTAACCATTCCGACTTCCGACTCCGCGACTATTGCCTGTCGTGTATACTAACTGATTGTCTTGGAATTTTTACAGGACCTCTCATCCTACTTCCAAATATTACGACAATCAAGCCGACCAACGACCACCGTGGAGAGCCAACAAATATCGCCTTCTGATCTCTGGAGTATCCAAAAATTGTGGTGGACAATACCGAAGAGATAACCCCCAAGTAACCCGTGATTATCTATAACATTGACAATACTATTTGTGCTATAACGTATAACTTTTCATACATCTGTACCATAAGATCTATTTTTCTTGTAAGTTATACCTAGTTTGTCATTTTGGTTTACTTGACATTATTTGGGTCCACTACAGTATCACTCTAAGAGTGATTATATCATAAACCTGAAAGATGTAACCAGTGATCTGAAAGGTTAAAGTTTTTTTACAGTATTGTAACCGTTCAGTAAAGCCAAACTCACTGTTTTTAACATGCACCTAATCTTTAATCCATAGCTAAATGGATTGATGTAACTCAGCAACCGCATATATCTTCACACACACCAAGTGCATGTTTGAATGAATAATAATGTGGCCATCCAAGCTTCGATAAGTGAAACAAAGTTTGTCCAGTGGAAGTTAGACTTTTAAGCTGGCAAGTAAAGGCCTTATCCGTCTGGTATATAGAAACTTTACATTTCATCATGAATATTTTACCATTCAGTCAGTAGGTTGGAACCAACTAGGCATTATTTTCAACCTCGGTCAATCTAAAATATGGACTAACAATCATCTACAGTTATTAATTAGGTTAGTATTGTATATTTTACGACTAATCTAAATATATTGGCATTCATTTTACGATTGCACTTCTATCAACATAAGACTTTTATAATATTTATGCTAAAACAGAGACAGAAGACTGAACAACTGCTTCCTTAAAAAAAAACTCCGATAGCGCGTTTCTCCTCTCCTTCATTGCATCTACTTCAATTTATTGGCCTATAGGCTTAAAATCAAACTTCTACTCATGAAAACTTTGACAAAGGGGAAATGTCTATTGCTGGTATAAAATAGTCGCAATAGTTTTCGTCACGAAATGACATCACTTGAAGAACCAATGATGACTTGAGAGAACTAGGCAGCTGTTTAATCCTCATTTGAGACTGCTTGGAAGTACGTGTTGCAGCCTCATAAAGAATCAAGTTCATGACAGCCAGTTTGCGTGGTTATCAGACAGACAGACAAAATCAACGTAGAACCTTGCAAACAAGTGACCGATTTTCATCTATTTCACCAAGTTTTCAACCATTGATTCCTATCGTCTCATGGATCCCACCTAGGTAGTCTACACCTATCTACACGACTTAGAGCAACAGACAGACTTCATGCACAGATAATATGCCTTTATCTGGCCTCCCTGAACCCTCCTCTAACCCAATCCAAATGCACCTAGTATTGCACGTCGAGGTAGGTGGTGACTTGGCATGCGCAACACATGTCTACGCCACGTCAACCGCTGAAGGTTCACAACCTCACCGACTGACTTCCCTTACTTGCCCAGTACACTTCCCCGGACATCAGCACTGCTCATATGGAGATTACACCAAAATGTGAGCAATGCTATGAAGACATCCGTGATCAAAAACTTCTGACCGCTTCATATTTTTCACGTCTAACAGCTATGTTTCACAACCGCGACGAGCACATTACTATTCAGTCATACCATCGAGTTTTGATTCAGCACCCTATTATTCCCAAGTTTTCAATGGTTTTTCAACTGATGTCAGTTTTTGATGAAAACTACTCTGAAATCAATCGACCAGTCTATACAAAACATCAAGTGAATAAGGCGTTCAATTCTTCATTTCATTATTGTTCTCATATACAGCATTGTGATTACATAACAAGTAAGCTTAATACAATGAACTACAGGATTTATTTCAACAGTAAAAATGCAAAAAAAAGTGCAATTAAGTACCTTGTTCCAAACAAAAATGAAGTGAGATAACGTTGAAATTACAATCTACTGTACACGTTTTTCTTCAAGTTTACCTAGTACCAAACTTTAATAAGATATCTAAGATATAACAGCTACACTAGTATAAAATAATTATTTTAAAATAAGCTATGCATATTGAACACTTAGAGATAAAAGAAGTATTTGGAGAAGTGAGACAATAGTGACCGATTTCAGTTAACCAATGAAACACCTACTTTTATAAGTAGACAATCTCAAAAAGCATTTACGTTTCGCGTCTTATAAGGCTTATCAGCAAAATGAATCTGACAATAAATATGGAGTTTCGGAGTAGTGGCTCATTGGTTTAGGAAGTTGACTTTCAACTAGTGAGTGACGGGTTCGAGCCATGCTTTGCCTACCGAGGTTTGGATAGTCAGATAGTATCATTAGCCGTCATATAACAGGTGTGGCTGATTGACTACTGCATGAATGTGTACAAGATTGCGAAATTTTATCCTCAAAAACATAAAATCTACATATCTATAGTCAACTCCAAACTTCTTATATCCGTAGAACACTACACAATATAAGAGTACAACTTGGATACTGTGTTTGGTTTTAGTTCTAGTTTAGTTTGTTTATCCACATGTATTCCACAGAGTGAAATAGCATTACTTACTGGATAACTTTTTTGACAATTTATTGTCCATACCTTGATATGAATATATATGCAGTAAATTGTCTCCACAAAAATTATCCAGCAAATAATACCGTTTTACTCTGTGGTATATCAGAAGAACACACTAAAATGGAAGAATAAACAATGAAAATTATCATACCAATTTTGCTTACCTTACTGAGTAGAATAGCATACCATAACTAGTTAGCGTTGGAGTGCACAATATTAAAATGGCTATCGTCTAGGATTGCATGAATAATACATCGACGTTGAGAGATAAATTTCAAAAGAAAGGGGCTAAATATACTATTGATGAACTGAATGAGTAGTTGAAAGTTATATACATTGATGTTTAGGTTTCAACAGCAAGATAAGAATAAGTGAAATATTAAAAAACAGCCGTCTCACCCAGATCACTTGAATTTACTCAATGAAAATAAATTACTTTCTGCTGACAATACAATTTGGGTAATTTCAAAAAAACAATCATGCTCATCTGTTTTAAAATTTCTGATATGAGTTGTGCAATATACAAAAATAGTCAACAAATAAAATAACAACTAACCTTTGTCATAAGTAATGTTGTACTCTCTGCGTTCAAATCGGCATCAAATAAATGAACCTTATGGTACTGTGCTACAATCCGACCATCAGCATTGATAATTATATGAGCATTGTACACACGGTCATCAGACTCATTAACCTATAAATATAGTTATAAAACAAAGCAAAAAAATGTAACGCAGTCGATATACTTCGACAGCACAAATAGCGAATATCTTCATCGAATAAGTACGCATAGATGAGACAGACAGGCAGATAAAAGCGACATAGTCAAAAAGTGGTATAAAACATAGGGTACATTTATACAGGATCACACAATTTTCACTTTACCTCCATTCAGATTGTTGAATGTACCGAACAAAAAGGATTAAGATCTGTGACAGCAAATTTCCTGTACAACGATTACTCAAATATGGTAATGAATTGAGAAAATGGGAGAAATTATTGATCTAAGGCAAATGAGAAGTGCAAAAAATAGCGATTCGAGACTTATTTCGGGATTCAATACTGCTAGTAATTTTGTTTTTTATTTATAGAAAAGCATTCATGAAATTTTGGTTAGTTGGATCAAGCACTCAACTTTCAAGCAATGGGTTTTAAGCATCCAATTCAGCTCCATCTGCTTAAGCTTAAGAAACTAGGTAGTATCATAAACTTTCATACATTAAATATGGCTCATGGCCGAGTGCAAAATGCTGTACCACCTAGATGATTTTAAAAAGTCCTAAACAAAGCTTTAATATGTAATTCTTCTCGACAGCTGCCATAGAAACCAATACAGTCCAGTTCACCACAGTTTCCAAAGACAGAAAAATAAAAAGTGGACAAAAGTGGGGAGATGTTATGATAAAGAAATAAAAGGGCGTACAAATAAAGAGAGAAACAAGGTACTAAAATTATATCCATGAAAAGTTTGTGCATTGCGGAGAGAATTAATTTATTAGTCCAACGGATGAAGATACCTATACCAGACTAATGGACCTTAACTATTTGATTCTTACAATAACCAAAATAGTGAAACGATGCATAAAATACCCATATAATGTTTCAATTAATATTAAGGGATGAAAAACTTGACTGAAAGCCTATGTAGCAATCAATGTAGTCTTCGGCAAGCCATCTATGTATACAAAAATATGCGTTGGAAAAAGAATGAAAGAATTCGAATGGGTTCACGAAATGTGCTTACAAATCTTTATTTTATTGACAGTATAGAAAATCTGATGCGATACTGCAAGATTTAGGCAATTACCAACTCCTTCAAGGTAATCTTTCTAATTATTAGGATATATCATTAAAATACTAGTTAACCTTGTAGATTTTCCGGGGGATGAAACATAACTAGTTAAGGCAAAAAGGAGATGAATCAAGAAAATTGAACCCCTTAGACATTAAATTCACCTACCGCCATAAATGGATGACCGTAAGAGGGAATCCACGCTCATAAATGGAGTTTTTTTTACTTAAATCCCAACAAATTCAACCGTAGTGAACATGCAATATACAGTCTTATAAAAAGCAAGGTGCTTTTCCCTAAATTTTCCAACTACTGGTCTAAAAGGTTTACACAGACTACACTATACACTACAAATAAAATTCAAAATGAAATCAAGAAATTCATCAAGGTGTAGCGGGACAAAACATTATTATCAACGGCTGGTTCAGATACACTCTGCTTTGCTAGCCACTTATTGCGAAAGTGAATAAAATCCCTCTAGATATGTTACGGTAGCATCTGACGGTGAACAATGCATGTAATGCTAATTAAGGCCCCCTGCTCAAATTCATGCAGCTATACAGGCTTATAGAGAAAGTTATCTTTGAAGGTAACGACAAGTAGTGACGCCAGTTAAGGGTGTGAACTATCATCATTTTTATTTAACTTTTTATATGCTTGCTGATTGACTTAACCCTTAATACCTCCGAATTCTTAAAGATTTACTTACTTCAAGAAGAATACTTGGGTGGACTGAGATAGGCAGATAACAGTCCCGTTAGGTGGAAATATTAACAAAATGTAGCTTTTGAAATGCCTAGAGTATCTCCGACATTCTGTACCTTTTAAATTTTGAACGGCGAGGAGACACTGTGTGGCGCTCTATCATATTAAACCTAGTTACAGATTGCCTCTGTCCTAGTCAATAAAGTTAATGTTAGTTGGTTTTAGTTTTTAGCTATTAACTACTGGGTGCAGAAAATGAACGCGTCAAATCCAATGACGGCGTGTGATAGTTTTTCCTATTTACTGAAACATAATTTAGAAGCAATAAGCCAAAATGTGTGTAGAAATCATGAATTACTCATGATTCAATCAGTGAACACAGGCAAGCAGGAGTAAAGCAGGACCGTACGCACCTTATTTCGCCTTTATTATTTTCCTTATATTCAAATAAGGTTGATTTTAGAAGTAGTAGTAAAAATTGGTTTCCTAACAACCAGATTACCGCTACAGAAATAAATTATTTCCAGATTATCGTAGATTGCACTAACAGCAAATGAATCGACTGGTATCTATCTTCTGTCTTAACCACCAATCTTAGGTATCTAAAGAACGAAAATGATTTACGCATTCGATATCTACATTAAAAAAGCATAGTATTTAGTGCATAAAGTAATCGCAAAAAAAATGAAAAAGCTGAAGCAATAAAATAAGCAAGCGAAATATAACAATGGACGGAACAAAGAACTGAATATCAATGTGTTGTTGCAAGCGATTTTGAACCGGGACGATGAAGGGAAAAACCAAGGGAATTGAACATCTCAAAGTTGCCCAGTCACGCAGTTGCATGGACCAAAACAAAAGTTAGACACCATGGATTCGTGCCATATCATGGCATTCACCTGTAGCCTTTTTCCAACCGTACTTTACTTGAGCTGAAATTACCTACCGGTATGCACAGCATGTGCTCCAGTCGCTTCAGAAAAGCCTAATTCTGAACGACTATCCGTAAGCTTGTGCATATAGTCAAAACATCAAAGATAGCCTTTTGAGATACTGAGTTTACAAATAAAAAACATTATTGGAGAAAGCGCCATACTTAACCAAACCATACTCGGTAATTATTATCAACTAGTGAAGTGTGAATTTTATTTTAAATGACTATCTGAATTTATCGCACATTTCTACAGTAAATTCACTAACTTGCACTTATAAAGTGTGTAGCGAAATTATATTACAAGATACCGGGAACGAAACTGAGGGAGAAATATATATTGAAATAAGGAAAAACAACTTATGATGAAAAACATACGTCAATTATTTACTTTTATATGAGCACCACCAAGGCTTATCCAAAGTTTTTCTTTAGCAGCTAAGTCGCGGTAATTCATGACCAGTGGTCCATCCAACACTTCTGAGAGACTCAATGTCTCCTCAACTGAACTGCCAACAAAGTCAAAACACTCAGGCAAGAAAACCATCTGAATTGCTACTCATTATAAAAGATTTAAATTCGAAGACTACCCTGGCACCTGATGCCTTGGCTTCATTAATTAATTTAACAGCTTGCTGGAAGTTTTTTGTCTTGTTTGATGTTGACTGCATTTGAACTAAGCCAATTTTCGTAGCCATCCTCCGTAGGGAGGTTTGTTTTAGTGCACAAGCTACAATGTCACTAACCCGTAAACTCAGCTCACTGAAGCGCATATAACGTACTTTGCGCTTTTATATTTTCACCACACAAAATGTTCAATATATCCACTATCCCATTTCTTTACACGAGCTAATGTAAACCAATTGATTTATTCACGCTCGCTTCTAGGTCTTGCGGAACTGTTCCAGGTCTTCGGTGCATTCCAATGCAGTACGTCCATCCACTTGACTGCTGTAGCTCTCGTTAGCCCGACGGGCGGTTGGGTGTTGGTTAAATTTGTAGGGAGTGTTGTTTGTTTGTTTGCTTTTTCTTCCGAGGACTGTGGTGTAGATGGGTTCCTCAAATGTCGTGCCAGCAGACAGTTGGTCAGACTGGTTGCAAAAGGGAGATGAAAAATATGTGCAGAGAAATCAAGGGAGAGAAAGTGCAGAGAGGGACAAAATAGGAAAAGAAAAAGAAAAAAGAGTAGGAAAAAGGAAACGGCATGGAAGAATAACACATTGGTAGGTTCATGGGGAGTAGGTGATAGGGAGAGCTTTTGTTAAAGTTCGAGAACGTAGTCAGAAGGGAGAAGAATAAATAACAGTATAGGACCAATGGGAATATAGTAATTCTTTTAGTAGGAGACGGTAACTGGAGGGGACGTCTACAGGAAGGTGAAGGGTTGAGCCAAGGTCTCAGTGATAGTGGTTTTGCAAAGTGTTCAGTAACGGTAAGTCGTGTCAGCCTAGTCCACATCTCAGCTGAATGGGCGCGAACCGTGCGTCGCTGCGTAACTGTCCAACCTCTTCTCGAAGCCATCAACAGACGCAGCAGTAGCAATCTCGGCAGGCAATGCGTTCCAGTGGCCGCAAACTCGCAGAGAGAAGGGGTGTGATCGCACACGGGTTTTCGCTCTTTGGTGGGCAACTCCCCTCGGATTACCACGAGGATCGCCATGGTGGCCGTTCTGTAGGATTCCACAGCTCGCATGACTTGGGTTGCTGAGTATTTTGTAAGCCATCATCAAGTCACCACGTAATCTACGGTAGCTTAGGGAGTAGAGCCCTTGATCTTTCAGCCTGTCCTGGTATGGTTTTTGCCTCATTCCCACGACACCCTTTGTAGCTCGCCTTTGGACTTTCTCCAGGAGGTTCACGTCTCTTTTCAGATGTGGTGGTGCAATGACGTTGTGTAGCTCTAGATGGGATCTTATATAGGTCTTATGCAGCTTCGAAAAGAGTTCCGGGGTCAGGGCACCCAGTTGTCTGCGCATGGAGTACAGTACTGCGTAGGCTCTGGAGGCATCTCCTGGATAACTGGGGCTATTGTCCAGTTTGTCAGTTAGTTTTAGTCCTAGGTCTTTCTCTGTGGTGGTGAGGGAGAGTTGTGTTCCACAGAGAGAATAGGGTACCTTCTGAGAGTCTGGGGTGCGGAGAAACATGGCTCGGCTTTTATCTAAGTTAAGTGCTAGTCCATTAATGTCCACACACCCAGCAAGTAATCCGAGATCAATTTGCAGTGCACTTGATTCTGTTTCTGACGTCACAGCTACCCACAGCTTAACATCATCAGCGAAAAGTAGAACTGGGAAGCTGAGACTCAGTGGCAGGTCATTCACAAAAAGAAGGAATAGCAGAGGACCAAGAATCAACCCATTGTCATACACCAGAAGATGATGTCATCCAAGTTGAGAAAACTCCGTTGGCATTTGTGTAGAATTGCCTACCGTCTAGATAGTCCTGCAACCATGAAATCACTTGTCCCTTGATGCCCAACCTTGCTATTTTGTGAACAAGAGCGGTGTGTGGAACTGTGTCGAAGGCCTTAGTAAAATCTAGGAAAACAACGTGGACAGGAACTTGGAGGTTCCAGCATGTCGTCGACTTATTACCTGCTGCCAGAATGTTTGTGGCACAGGACACCTACCCTTTCTGAAACCATGTTGAGCATCACTGAGTACTCCCCTCTTGTCTAGGTACTCCCTGACATGGTCGTCTACCAGACTCTCCATTACTTTTGACACCACTGGCAGGAGGGCTATGGGTCGGTAGCATTTTGGGTTCTGCCTGTCTCCACCTTTGAAGATGGGGTACAGAATAGCACGTTTCCGCTCTCGTGGAAACGTGTGATTGTCTAAGGAGTGTTGAAACAGATTACGTGGCGAACCGCATAAGGCACCCTAGCATTGTTTCAGTACAGCCGGTCGGATGTCATCACACCCTGGTGACTTCCATGGGTGGAGCTTTGACAGTTTTTCGAGGACCATAACAGGAGTTACCCTTATTCCAGGTAACTCCTGCACTTGGTGGTGCTGAATTTCGGTCGGACAGTTGGTAATTTTGGTTCGATAGGGACGTATTCAGTTGAGTATCGAAGGTGGCGCTAAGGGCTTTGGTTAACTCTAATCCGAAGAGGTTCCCTCCGTCTAGGCCTTTCAGGATGCAAGCACTCCTGGCTGGTTGATTTTCTGCCTGCCATAAACTGATATAGGGTTTTGAGGTTCACCTCGGCTTCTGGGCGAGGTTCGTCTGGAACGACCTCCTGTCCTCCCTCACTCTGATGTTGCATCGATTGCTTACTGCTGTGTGGTCAGACTCTTTTCTGGAGGTCCTCCACTTGTGCCGTGCTTTCCACTTGGCTTTCAATGGACGTTCAGTGCCTCGCTTCAAACATGAGGTTCGTTTCCGTGGTATTGCTGTGATTACTTGGACGTTTTCAGAGACAGCCCTCCTGATGATATCTCTAACTAGTTCCCAATGTTGGTCAGTCGACAGGTTGCTCCACTCCTGAGGCCACGGTGCTGTCAACAGGTTCTGCTTCATCGCCACGTAGTTCACTTCGTTGTAGCAAAGACAAGGGCGAGATCCCTTCCATGACAGTTGTTCGTTGAGTACCAGATCGAACACTACCACGCCGTGATCGCTGCTGCCGAGGAGGGTCTGAACCTGTGCATTTTCTACCAGCAGTGGGTTGCTGGTAGAAAGGTAGTCCAGTTTGGACGGCTTTCTGCCTGACCCCCAGCGAGTGTCATCACCAATATTCTCTTGCAGCCCAGCCTTTTTGATAGTGTTGAGTAGATTTCGGTCGAACCTTCAGCTTGAGGCTCCCCTGTCCTGCCCAAGATTGAGAGTTGGGGCATTAAGGTCGAGGGCTATAATGACCTGGTCATATCCGATGGACATCGCTCGGGACATTGCTTGCAGCAGTTGTCGGTTATCTTTCAGGCTGCTAGTAGGTGTTCTGTAGACACCTCCTAGCAGGCACTTGGTGTGTTCAACCTTAAACTGACACCAGATGGAGTCTGGGAGCCCTGAAAGTAGGGTTTCAGTTGCTCGTTCACTTTTAAGGTTATCACATATAAGCACCGCCATCCCGCCTCCTTCCTTAAACTCCCTGTCTCTCCTGAACAGACGCATACCGTCTCTACTAGTTTCGACGGCGCTAATGTCCGGTGATAACCAAGTTTCTGTCAGGATTATGATCGTTGGAGCAAGGTAGGAACAGGGAAGTCGTGATTCCCCCATTTTACTTCTGAGTACCCTCACATTATTGTAAAGACACTTGGATGTGTTTCTAACGACAAGGAGTATCTTGGTGCTGGTAGACTGGAGGGAGTCGTGCGCAGTGGCGAAACTTGCTATGGGACGGCCAGCTTCAGTGGAACCGGCCCAATCATGTTTTTTCCCATAGTGGTTTCCGGGGGTTTCATGGAGTCCAGGTTTGATTGCGCATCTTGTCTGTTGACAGTGACGGTGACTTCAGCGGTTGGCGGTGCTGCCATTCGCTGTTGTCGCAGTGTCCTGGGCCTGCTTTTGCGGCAGCGAACATTCCCACCGATGTTATCTTTTATACTGTGTACCAAGCTTGCAGTACACTGGTTAAAAGTTCGTGGCAGCCGAAGTTAACAGCCACCAGCCGAGGTGCTGTTATCTTCGTCTGCAGACCGCCGCCGCTGCTATCCCATTTAGCCCCATCCTCTCTGACAACCACTGCCATTGCTGGGCGTCGTGAGCATACTTTTCTACGACTGTGCCGGTTGTCGGTTCCGGTTATGCCGTGGACAACCATAGCCGTTGGCTTCAGCGTTTAGGGCGCCCCGCAAGATACCTTTCCTGCCTACCGATGGCGGCTGGTCTGGTTCTAATGCTGGGTGACCTGTTGATAACTAGTGTGTGTGGCATCGGCAAGAATCTTTCCGCTTCTTTAGCAGAGCTTAGGGTAACTCTCATCGGCGGAGGCTTTCCCTGAGGCGGGTAGTTGCCCCAGTAGAGCCTGCACAGCCTTGCTTCTGGGCTACCCAGTCCCAGTGTGGTGCATACGGCTTCCCACTGCTGTTTGTCAAAAGATTCTCTGTTCTCAAGGAGACTCATGGCGCACAGGGACGTCAAGTATGATGATGGAGTTCGGCCTGTCACAGCTTCTCTATTTTCGTGTGCTGTGGGTGGCTTTTGTAGGAAGGGTGCACCTTCTTTTCCACCACCACCCATTTTTCTCAATGCACAGTGGGGTAAGCCTCTAAAGTGGCTTCAGGGTTAGAGACGGATGTAGTTGGTCGCGTACCCGGTAGTCGTTTTGGTCTTTTTGGACTACTCACCGGCGTGACTGGCCGGGGTACAGTGCTGACGCCCTCGCTGCCTGGGCCTGGGTTAGTGGTCTGTGTGGGTGCCGGCATCACAGTAGTCACTGCGATGCCTTTTACGACCTCCATCAGCGAGCCTTTAGAAGAGAGTGGCCTTACACGGCACTGTGGGCAGGTGTACCGGAACCACATGCGTGGGTAGCGCGCTAGGAAGGTGTAATATTGGTCTGGTGTGTCCTCGTGACACTGACTGTGCACCCACTTATTGCAGATGTTACACTCAAAGACAGCATCCCTCTTGGCTACGGTGAGACCACATGTATGACAGTCGTCAGCCTGACTAGAAGGTTTAGTTACCGAATTTCTTTTCCCTCTCTTCCGTCTCTCAGTGGCGGCCTTCACAGGTAGACTAGGGTTTGGGCTGGTGGTACTAGAAAGACATGCTCGTTGATGAACCACAGCACAAATGTTCAGGGGGACAGGAATTCGACT